GCCCCAAGGCACTCACCAGGCAGCCTCCGTTTCACAGGCTTCTCGCTCTCCCCCTACTTCAGTGGACCCTGCACTTAGGGCTCTAGCAGATCCCTGGTGAGCACAGGTGCCTCAACCACCCCTGTCTAGGCTCAGACTAAAGGCAGACAATTTCCCACCACACTGAGGAGCTGCGGCTGCAGCAAGAGCGCGGCATCGAGCACTTGAGTTTCACACACCTACTCATGAAAAACCTGGAGTACTCAGTTTCAGGAAGGTGAAAATACACTATGTACTTACAGTGTGAAGTACAGGGTTGCATGTGGGGCATTCCCAGCCATCCCTCCAGCTCCACAGCAGCTCTCCCTGTCCCAAAGCGGAGGGCAACGCAGCACAACCCAATCCAAGCGCCTGGTTGTGGGCAGGAACCAACCCCAGCTCCGCCAGGAGCCACAGGGCAGACCCGGAGCTGGAATTTAACAGCTGGAACAGAGTGCGCCACAGCGGAAAGAATCGGTAATAGGTAGCTTTCCACTATGCAGCAATTGGGATCAATTCCACAAATCAGGATGCTTCATGTAGTAAAATTTACTATGAAACAAACTGCAGCCAGCGGCAGCTTTACAAAACAAACAAAGAAAAAAACCCAACAACCCTCAAAATCCTCGATGCTTGATTTTTGAGAAAACAAACCCTGCTACAAGGAAGAGCTTCTGCCCATCAAAGAAAGAGCTATGTCCTTACCATGGAGTCACTCATCACACAGGAATTAACTGGGGCAAAAAACCACAATGTTCATCCTAACTTGGAAGAACTTTTACAGAACCAGGCATAAATGTTCATTCACAGACTGCAGTCTATTATTAAAAGCAGGCATTAAAAACCCACCCCCACTTATTGACTAGTAAGTAAGGACCAGAAGTTACCAGTTCACTTGTGACAGAAGAATCCGTGGCACTATCCGAGCACATCACTTTTTAACTGAAAGTAAACACTGTTTTCTTGAAGTTGAGCTGCAAACACCTTCATCCTGATGCCCATGCACAGATGCCCAGAGCTGGCCATTGCTGAGGAATCACATGAAAGGCCGTGTGCCATTTCCCAGCCCACCGACATCCTGCTGTCTGCAAGGAGCGGCCTTGGCCGCACTGCAGCCCGGCCTTGCTGCTACGGTTTGCACAGGCAGCTCCTGCGCCGCCATCCTCCTCCTCACACTGCCACAGCTTGAGGCTTCTGGGTCAGGATGACTACTCGGTCACTTCTCAGAAAGTGCAGACAACAGAGAGGGTTATAAAAAGGTTTTATTGTTTACTGAACAGAAGATACCTACCAAAGACTTATTACAGAGCAACAGAAGTTTCATAATTGCCTCAGAACGGCCAGAGTTGGAAGCTGAAGGGAGTTAGTTAACTGCTGTTCTCAGTGTCATTCGTGAGGCTCTCCGCAAGGTCGCTTAGCCCGGCCTTGCTGAGCGCAGTGATGAGGTTCCCGGGTGTCGCGTGGGACCCCTCCTGGTCCTGCCAGGCCACCAGCAGCTGCTTGGCTCTCATCTTCACGTCTTCGCTATCCGACTCGATCTGCCGTATGTCAGAGTCCTTCATCTCCAAATAGGGGGCCAAAACCTTCCAGTGCTCCCCAAGCTTGTTGGCAAATGACTCGATTTGTTCGCCCGTCATGGCCTTGTCCCGCTGCACCTCTGGACCTGGGAAAAAAGTGGATCACAGTGCATCAAGGAACGCCTCCAGCAGGCACAGCACTATCTATCTGCCCCCTTTTAAACCTGTTACTTGTCCACTAACAGACTAACACCTTCCAGATAGATAGTCTTTAAATTCTACTCAAGAGCTTTGAGCGCTCTCAGCTGCATGGATTTTTACAGAAGTATGATCTGTTTTTCAAGAGAAAAACACCCCTTATTGTCCATGCAGATGAAAAACGTCTTTCTCAAGCACCACCTGTTTGACTGAAAGACAATTGCTCAAGTCTTCAGTACATCGGAACTGCCTCCTCCAAATGGAAACAGATTTTTCACAAGTAGCCTACAACGTTCAACACACAGGTCAAATAAAATGCAGACTGCTCTTTAGAATTTAATTTTCCTCTAGGCTTGATCTCAGTCAAAAAGCATTTGCTTCCCTTTTATTGTGTTGCTAAAGACGAACAGGAAACAAGTGAGATGCTCCTACTAACAGCAGGAGCATGAATAAGATATTAAATTTAATATGTAGTCAGTACTTCAAGGTATTTGCTCTCATTCTGGCATCAAGATAAACACCAAATACTGTGCTTTGCTGAGAATCCAGCTGTTGGATTATATTACCTAAGTGGGTTTGCAAGTTTATAAACCTCATCGTGGTTTATAAACCTCATCTGTACCTCACCACCTATGGTCATTTCATACCATTCTAAACAACAAAAAACACCCTGAAGGATGAATTACCTATCATGGAAGTTGACCATACTCTTATTTATATCTCTCTATATCTCATCCTTGCACCACCTAAAGAGCCAGCTGACGCAGACTTGAGGGTTTAACTCTTTCCAAGCTCATCAGTCACTCACTCGTGTGAACTAAAGCCACCGCATCAAGGCGGGAGAATGGAGGAGCACGGGCAACACCACAGAAGCACTCACGTTGCTTCCATCAGTCCTAAGCAACTGAGTGTGCAGCAGACTGCACCCACCCCATCTTTGCTTTAAGACAAGATTTAAAGAAAGATGAACACTCAGCGCCGTGAAGCCGGGCAGGCACTTTGTGGTAACGCTAAGCTGGAGATCTCCTGCACTACTGACAGTGAGACTGGGGGAAAAGAGAGGCCAGGAGGCTAGATGGAAAAGGGCAACAGAAGAGAGATTTACACAGACCCACAGAAGGCTTCCAAATAACAGAAAAAAAAGTATTTAAACAAAATCACGAGGTGAGAGGACAACCACCTGTGACCACTGCGAGTTTCCACCTGAGAGGCAGGTGCAGAGACATGACAGGAGGGAAAAGGAGGATGAGATGAGGGGCATGAGTGAGGATGGAAGAAGGCAGATTCACAGGCACAGGAGACAGGGAGGGAGAGTTAAGAGCAAGACATACTGAGATGACAGGGCAGAGGCAAAGTGAAGGGACTACTTAATGCAGAGGAGCAAGAGATGACCCGTTGGGAAGGTTGCCCTCCTCATGGGGCAGCCTTTGCCTTCCAGACACTGAAATGAAGCAGAAAGAAGGACCTCCGAGATGGACCAGGTATGCTCAGGAAGGCTGCGTAACCAGCCAGCGCAGCGGTGCTGGGGGAGACCCACAGCTACTGAAGAGTAGGAACAGGGCGAGAGGGGCTGGGAGCACTCGGGTGAGAGCGACAGGGGCTGGGGGCACTCGGGTGAGTATTTACACAGCAACACCCACGTTTCCAGTATAAACACCCAGCAACACTGTAAACAACCACCACGTAGCAGGAACAGTGGTGGAGGGTCCCAAAGCAAAATCCAGCATGAAAGAGCTGGACACTTTGAGCAACAGGAATCATGAAACTCTGGGGCCACCAGTCGTGTGCTGGAGGTGGCGCCTCCCGGTTATGACGGTGGGTACAGGGGAGCATCAGGGTAAGCAGGACGGTGACCCTAGGCAGGAAGTCTGGTAAAACACAACTTCTACCATATGCACCAAGAACTGTGGAACTGTGAAAAGACCAAGAACATGCAAACCTTACTTTCATTGTTTTCCTTTAATAAAGCATCATTATCTTCCTCATCTTCATCTTCGCCTGTTTTTATTTCTTCAGAAGGAGGCTACAATGAGAGAACTAAATATCATTGGATGAATTTTGTGTTTAAAGAGAAATTTTACAGCTGTACGATGGCCCCTGCTGTGTGTGCTGGAATGGAAAATCAGATATGACCCCGCTCAAGAATTTAAAATCTCCCAGTCTTCTGTAACCAAACACTAGTAACAAATGTTCTAATAAAACACAGTATTACTAAAAAAGTCTAACAAAAGTATCCACTGACTTTACAGCATTATCTCCTTTTTGTAATAACTACAGCTAAATTTTACCTACTCACAGAGCCTTGCAACTTCCTTATAAAACAAAACAAACACAACTTTACACAGATCTGCACTCCTGAAGAACACTTTTTTATTCTTCTTCACTAATTTTGTTCCCCTCTCAGGTGATAATCCATACGCTCATGCTTCTCTGCCCAGTAGTTAAACACAACAAACAAATACGCCAACAACATTGCTTTGATTTAGATTTCGATCAGACGAGATGAACAGAAGGCCTCTTCTTCCTAGGCTTCTATCTCAGGCCTTACCTATGGCGTTTTTTTTTTTTTTTTTTGCCACAGCATCTGATAAGCGACAGTAATCTCATCAGAAATACTGCATAAAATGGTATCTTATATATTAAATATACATTAGCTAACATCCACGCACAATATCTTTTTCCTAAAACACTTTACAGGAACCAGCTACTGCTGACTGCTGAACATGCACAAGAGCGACAGGATTCAATCCCAGTCTCAGCTTGGGGTAGTTTTGCTTTACAGACCCACAGGTCACACCTGTAGCAAACTTAAGTGGAAGGTTTGGGAAATGCCAGTCCACCTGTGCCCCCAAAATGGGAATCTCTTACAGTTGTGTGCCAAGGGCTGCAAAGGACGGCACAGCCCAAACTGCTGCTGCTGGACGCGCGAAGGGGCAGGCGCCCGGACGTGCCGGCCTCCAGGCTCTGCCTTTCCCGACGTGTTGGCAGAGCTCCGGCCCCGCTCCCGGCCGCGGCTCCCGGCGCTGCCGCCCGCGGCGCAGAGACCTTCCTGCCCCCAGCTCCGCCGGCGTGCAGGAACCTCGCGTCACCGGGGCCACTTGGTCCCTGAGCCCAGGCAGAGCTCTGCAGTTAACCTGTCACCAGCATCACAGTTAACTGCTCCGAAGTTTGGCGTTACTGAGAGCTCCAAGGATGAAGCCAACTTTATTTGCCACTTTTACCTTAGTGCACAAGCCTTTTTCTTTTGTCCCCTTCTCCCCCCATGCCAAATGAAAGACAAGCAAGAAGTCAAACGCATTCAGAAGTCAAAGGACGGCACTACTTACAGGCAGCTCCTTGGCTAATTTGATTACCATGTTCTCTAGATATTCTGGTAAACTCTTGAACTGTTGGTTTGTTGGCTGGAAGAAGTGGGGACTCCTGCGTGCTAGTAATCTCAGTGCTCTCCAGCCGTAGTTAGAATTGTTCACAGCCCTATAACAAAATACAAGGTTGGTTGGTAACAAACTTTCAGCTATAAAAGGACAGAAAAAGATCTGAGTCATTTCCTAACTAGTATCATGCTGTCCAAGCTTATAAAGCTCTTTGTACATTGCTGGAGTCCTGCACAGATATTGGTAATACAGAGAACAGACTGTTTTCTTCAACAATCTAAACATGAGGGAGATTAAAATCAAGAGAAACAAAACAAACATCTACATACTTGTACTTATTTTCAACCATGTTTTCAGGATCTGCCTGCTCAATAGCTTCCTCAAAAAATTCCTCCAGTGTGGGCATGTACTCCCTAAAAAACAAAAAGAGAGAATGTGTGAAGAGAATGAGACTGTAACAGAGTTGTTTTTTTCAGTTCCTTCATATACTTCTTAAACTACATTCACAGAGACAAAAGAAAAATCTTCTTCAAATGTAACATTTGCAATGAAGAGAAGACTCTGCTAGCTACATGTTGCTATGAGATTACTTACCACATAGTCACTGGAGTGCCTGAGCAGTTGCTAGCACTGCCTATTAAAGTGCTCAACTCTTCTGCTATTAAAAGGCGACATGAACAACTGTAAAGACTGGTCAGTGAAAAGGACTAGGGAGATGCAAGACAAGAATTTTGGCAATAAGGAAGTAAGAATTTCATAAAAATGCCTGTTACAACTGGCTGGCTGACGTAGAAACATCTCCTATGGTAACAGCTCAGACCCCTTGGGAATCAAAATGCCTGTTAGTTTTGTACAATTTAACAGTAAAGAATAAGCAGCACATGGTTTCCTGCCCCGTACACTGGGGCATTTCAGTTTCACCTGCATCGGAGAAAGCAGGACAACTGCTGCCCAGTCCATTTACTTATGGCCACTAACTTTCCAGTGGAGAAAGCATGAGGTAGCATAATGTGGCATTTGCCAAGGTTTGCATTGTAGGGGCTCCCATGCCTGTTCAAACACATTTATTTCACTGCCTGTGGCAGCACCTGTGCTGTTTGCTGAAACCACTTCAATTAAAGTCCACCCAACACAGGTCTTAATCTACATGTATCAGAACAAATTGATCCCCACTACAGAAAGGACATGGACATAGTGGAGAGTCTGACTGAGCTGGAGCTGTTCATCCTGCAGGAGACTGGTGAGGAGGATCTTTTCAACATGTATAAATTGCCTGATGGGGACAGGGGGCTGAAGGGAAAAGCAAAAAAGACTGAGCCAGACTCTTCTCCATGGTGACCAGTGGAAGAAACACAGTTGTGACCAGGCAGGCAGAAACAGGAACAGAGTGAAACACACAAAATTCCATTTGAGCTAAAGGAAAAACTCCTTTACTGTGAGGGTGACTCAGCACACAATTTTCTCTCATCTGGTGCTATTAAGAGCGCATACCTGCATGTAAACCGAGGCCTAACAGCCTGCTAACTGCATCAGAGCCAGGCCTGGCAACTGTCCTCTGTTATGTAAGCTGCTCAGTTATACAATCACCCTCCATGAAATGGAAGTTTTCACCTTCTGGTTTAGATTTTACTTTACTAAGCAATACAAGTTACCGACAGCACTTACACTAGTAAACGGAACCATGAAGGGATTTCAAGACAAAGTTCCATATAATTAGCTACTCTCAAGATATCAAGTAAAATGGAATACTATACAGGATCAGCCTACCTGCTTCCCTTATAGGGCTCTGAAATAAGTGTGATTTTGTATAGCCTGAGGGCTGGAAGCTTTGGGCAATAATGTACCTTTGCTTACCTACCTGCTCTCAGATTTACAAGCTTCCATGTTGTCAGGACATAAATTCCAAAGACGTGTTAGCTCCTCACTGCAAGAGAAACATAAATCCCTGTTAAAGTCTAAGTTCATCACTCAGTAAAGACACAGAAGATGAGCTACTGAAATCCTCACCCCAAAGCCTTTCTATTCCATTTCCATTCTACTCCCTTGTTGATCTGTGATTAGAAACAGTATGAAATTCTCTTTCCAAATTAGGAAACTTTGGGCTGTTTCACTTTGATGCATGAAATATCTTATTGCTTTCTTTTTTGGAGAGGACATTTTACTAAATACTTGGTACAAGGTCTGGAAGGCTAAGATAAGCCCAAAATCTCCACAACTGAGTTGGGTGAACAGTTACAGTGAAAAGACTGAAATTTCTGCTGCAGAGAGAGTGGGAAAACTTAGCACTTGGTAACATCCACAATAAGCTACTTTTTCTCATGAGGACTCATCATGGAGAATACTTTGCCCCAAGATAAAACAGGTGTTAAGACGACAAAAGAATAAAACCTGATCCAGCAAGTACAAAAACACTGATTTTTCAGTCTGTAACTTAAACACTTTTTATAAAGTATCTATAAACAAGATGACTACAGAAAGCAAGCCTACTGCAAGCTTTAAACCAAATAACACATTCCTTGGGTAGTTTCTTAGCAGTTTCAAAGCGAGGAAGTCTGAAAATTATTGACTAGAAAAAGCAGCCAGTGACAACAACAAAAATATCTCTGTAGTGAAAAAAGTCAACATACTTCCCCATAAGGATTTTTTTGTTTGGTCCTTTTCCCAAGAAGTCCTCTGGAGCTGGCCTCTTTCTCACAGGCCTCATTGGCTTTGACTCCGGAGGTCTAAATGAGGAGAAAAAGAAGAAAAAAGAAAGAAAGGAAAAAAAAAAAAGTGCTCTAGGATCTAGTATCACACCAGTCATATTAGAGAACAAAATGAGGCTAATTCAGTTCGAACAGCTTCTAGTTAAATCACAATAAAAGTATTCAAAGGGACTGTGATTCTTGGCAGAGGAAGGTGGGAGAAAGACCAAGAGACAGACAGACAGAGACAAAGAATAAGAAAGAACATGATAAGGTTAAAAAAAGAGAGACAGAGATAAAGAGAGGGATTTGCCAGACACTAAGATTAGTTCCTTCACAGATCTGAAGGTCTATAGAGTCCCATTAGATAAAAAAGCAGCAAATAACATTTATTCCAGCAGCACATACTAAATGCTGGTATCATCTGCACTATGATTCCAAGTTTGATTCCCCAAGAGCCCCTGATTTTATGGGATCAGAAAGCGGAGATCCCAGACCACTGAGGTTAGAATAAGACCTACCCAAGCTGAAACTCTGGCTGAGATCTAAAGAGGGAGACAGAATATTTATAAAAGTCAAATTTCAGAATTTAACACCTTTCCCCCGTCCAGCAGTAATTCCTCTCCTCTCACCACCACCCTCCCTTTCATGCCATAGGTCTGTGTGCAGAATGAGTAAGGACGGAAGAGCAATGCTTGCCCAGGACACCACAGCAGTTAAGGAATGTCCTGAGTTGAAATTCAGGCTTTGCCACTAGGTAGTAACTACTTGTGCAGGAAACCTTTTGATGGCTATGTCCACCTAAGCATATTCTTCTTTCAGGTAAGTGACTACCACCAATAGCATACGAAAGGCATACGAGAGAACATTTGTTGGGTACACGACCCTGTCAGAGCTGCAACTCCGAAGTCAGGCAGTCTACCCTGGCATACAAGAAAAATAACCCTCAACTTCTTCATCCTTGGGTATGCCCTTAAACAGGAAGGGGCACAAAACAACCAGCCTCCCCAGTTACTAAATTCTTGGTATTAAAAGAACAAAGGCTACCAGAAGACAGTGAGGGATGCCCTGCCCACCTGCATGTACAGGAGCACCTCTCTGCTACCATAACAAAGCCATAAGGATTTCTGGCAGGGAATGCACAGAAGGGACATCCATCTGTACCAGTCTCACAGCTGTGTGCATCATCAAGTACACACACACCACGGGCACGTATTTTGAAGTCAAGCATAGTTTCAAATAACATAATTTCAAATCAAACTTCTCCTTCATAATGCAGGTACCTTTCTTTCACAAAACTTGGGCAGCCCTCATTTTTCCAAGAGTTCCAGTTTTCTTCAGTATTTAGTATATGCTGGAGAAACATAAAATATTTCAAACTATTAGGGTTATAGCCACTTTCAAAGATGGCCTTACGGTTTTCATTGACGTATTAAAATTAAAGGAAAATTTCATTTTAGCTTGTGTATCTCAGATTATTTTGTGTATCATCAGTTGTGCGCTGAAGTACTTACCTCTACCATTTTTGAGAATCTTTCTCCATCTGGGGGATTTTCTGAAAGAAGCTATAATGAGAAGAAGAAAAAAAAGGTTAATTTTTTCGTATGATATTTGTAGCAGAATACTAAGGAGGGGAAAAAAAAATAAATAAAGGTGGCTACTACTACTACTTCACAGACAACTAATACTAAATACAATCATCTTTTTTGGTGTATTTTTTTTTAATAGAAGTATCAAATGCACCAACCTGGTAAACTGCTTTTGTAGTATCTTCAATCCAAAGAGACTGTTCATCTGTTAGAACATAGTTTGAACTGGATTGCCAAAAAATAATAATAAAAAAGACTCATAAAATTGGCCTAACATACAAAGTACACATTTTTTTTTGTTTCGTTTTAAAAATTCTCATTGCATAAATGTTTTTAAATGTGAGGAGTTAGCCTACAGAATAAGCAGCACTGAGAACCCAGCATTTAAAATACACACTGAGATGGGGCTGGATCACAACTGAAAAAAGAGGTACTTTGATAGGAGCTCCAATCTCTTCCTTTTGTCATTCTTGTTCAAGAAACTGTTCTAGCAATTTATAAAAGCAATAATCAGCATTACTATTTCCTGGCATTTTAGGCAGCATTCTGTAGCAAGAAGATCTTCACATACAGATCTCAAGGTCGATAGAGATTTAAAAAGAAGCCACCTAGGGAATAGCTGGTGCTGCTGCCCAAGGAGAGGTGCTGCTCCTTTGAAGTCTCTATTGGTTGGCACTCCGTTAAGCCCTCTGCTCCCCGGAGATTCCATTAAGTCACCAATCTGGCAGAAAACTCACTCTGCAAAATTGAGCCTTTTTGTTTGCTTGTTTGCTGAACAAACTTGGGAGAGCGCAAAGAAACACCAGAGCCACTGCAAGGGAGGGCAGAGAATGATGTAGGACGCAAAGGTAGGAATGAGACCTTCCCTTTCCAGCAGCAACCAACTGTTAATGGACTTCGAGCCATCTCCCACGCCAGCCTAAGGCTCTGCAAGTGAAAGAGCTCTAGAACCAGCAAATTAGGCTTCCTCAAAACATTTTGGTTTCACTCCAAGTTCTTAGCTCCCCACCTCCAAAACACGAATATTCCCACATTACCTTTTGAATTTGACCTGTCCCTTTAGATACTGAAACAGTATTAGATACTGCAACAGGATGTGACGGCGAAAGTTACTGTCACTCAGCTGTAAATCCATCAGCTAAACAAAAAACAAAAGAATTATGTATGCTTAGTGTCTTTAAAATACATGTGTATAGACAACTGCAAAATCCAGCAGAGATTTCTGGATTATCCAGAAAGGGATTTTTTTTTTACAGAAGGATAAGGCACCACAGAACCTGTATTCCATATCAGCAAAACTTTGTGGAGGATCAGTACAAGAATCAGTAAAACTGTCCCACAACATAGTTCAGAGAAGACAACTGTCAAAACTCTTAATGAAATCCATCACTTAAAAATGTGAGGAACTGAGTGTAAAAGTAAACAGTAAATTTCTAGTTTTTTGTTATACTAATTTTATACTGCTGGAACTTCACAATCTTCTACTGAAGACATCACTCACTCTGAAATGAGCAAGTTGGAAAAATATATATTGTTTTTGCCCCCTCTCCAATAATTGACTAACAGCTTTTCTACAAATTACATGCTGTGACACAATTTGGCTACCAGAAAAGTGAGCACTCTCACCAAAATTGCACACTGATACACTGCTTGATTTTGACTCATGTGCTGCAGAATAATAGATCATACAAATGAAGCAGCTTCAGATTCTTTGAAGAAATGGAGCCTTGACTATTAAGTGTTATTTAAGTGGCTACTTCTATATGTTCTATGTTATTTATTGTTTTAAAACTGTTGATACATTAGTCCAAAGTTTTTTGGGAATTTACCTGCTCTTCAATCCCAGAAAAAAAAAAAATCTCATTTTGCATCAAGACTTACTTTCTGTCATCTGCTGGTGCTTGGATCTAAGAGAGAGACGATGACTTTATCACTAATTTCAGTCTAGTGCTGTATTTTTGTGATGTTAACAGAATACAAAACTCTCGAGATCTTTTTCAAAACAACTTTAAGACCATAATCAGGTAGAAAACAGTTAATGCTCCATCTGCCAAGTGCAGAATATGTAGTTGCAAATGCAATAAAAAAGGGCGACAGATCTTTAAATATCTACTCTAACTTCCCCTCCTAACTGTAAGCGTACACATCAAACGCCATAAATATACCAAAAATAGGACACACCAAGCCATCAACTGCCAGAGAGAATTCAATAAATCACGGAGAAAAGAAAACACAAATAAATAAAGAAGAAATCTTTCCAAAGAAAGTGGTCAGACATTGGAACAGGTTGCCCAGAGAGCCGGTGGCACTTCTGCCCTTGGTGATATTCAAAAGGTGTCTGGACACAACATGGAGCAACCTGCTCCATGTTGGCTCTGCTTGGAACGTTGGGGTGAACTGGATGAGGTACCTTCCAACCTCAGCTGTTTGTGATTCTGAGAAAAGAAACCACATACCTTTTCACTAGTTAGGAACTTCGCAAAATATACATGTTCTCCTCCTGTTTTTAGTTCTTCCAACTTTTTCCGGGAAGCTTGAGTGTCATCCAATTTGTAACTTTTGAAAACAGCCAAAACTTCTTCTGAGTACTATAAAACAAAGTTATTAAGCGCATGAGAAAAACAACTTTGCAGTTAATTAGAAAACTGTACTAGACTTAGCCCAGAGCGGAAAAATCATTTGTAAACTTGCTTTTCACCTGAGAAAGTCTATTTGTCACACTGACCAGTACATAAAATAAAAGTTCACTAAGATACATATGACTTTCAGAGAAGGTTTTTTTTTTAATCATTTCAGAAAGTCTAATCTTTTGAAGCATTTAAGATATGCTAAAAAAAAAAATGATGTGAACAATGCATTAATGTTTTCTTGTTTAGATGTTATCAAAAAACAAAAAATGATGTTCACTGCTGCATTCAAATATCACTTAATTTGTTCAGAATATGTACAAGAAAGGTACAGCATGAAAAATTACATTTGCAGTGCTACTCTTAAAAATAATTCAGAACCTTAAAACTGCAGTGAGGGAAACCTATCAAAGGTCATCTGAAAGACCTAAGCCTGGTTCAACCTCATCTCCCTGAACCATATTCTTTCTTTGGGGATTTTATATCTTAGCAGCAGAGTACAGAGAATGAGGATTAAAAAGACTTTCTTACAGATAAATTAAAAATCAGTGGTAAATTGTGAAGAAACCAGTATAGCTTCCGGATAAATCATCCTCAACATTCAGAGCTGGCAAAGCTGAAACACTGCTAATAACTATGGAGCTGGCTCAAGGGGAGGTTCAAGTCACTGCTTCTATTAAAAAATAAATAAATAAATAAATAAAAGTTTCATTAGAATTATTTTCCAGTGTAGGATCCCACTGAAAAGACTCCATTTGAAAGCAATAGTAACAATAATTGCACCTGCATTTAGTGCAGAAGATCTAGGACCAAGTAAAATTGTTTTTCTCATTATAAAAAAAAAAAAAAGAATCCCACACAGTTTCTGCTTTCTGCAGCTGACATTATTAAAATGGCACTTCTAACATTATTGCAATATATGAAGCGTCGCTGTAATTGACAACTAGTTATAAACTTGAGCTTTATTAGAAGATTTACAGGACATCTTAACAAACTGGTTTATGTCAAAGGCTCATTTTAGAAAACAGCAAAATACATTTCCCCATTCACTACTATTTTTCATTTGCATTAGCAGTTCCATCTTGCACAATCTCTCTTTTATTCATGTAAACGGCAATTTTTAAATAGGCTTAAGTGTTGAAAGAACAGATTCTGATTACCTTAAGAAAAGTTTTCCATGAGACTTTTTCATAGCACTGCACAGGATTCCGAAAGTAATCTTGAAGTGACCAGAATTTTCTATACAGGTTGTAATCTATTGGAATGGAACTGAACAACAACAGTTATGAAAACCTGTATTCAAAGAAATATATTAAACTCAAGCCCACTCAAGAATGTGCAATCCCCTAAAATATCTTTTATTTTGTAAGCAAAATAATGAAACTAACAGTGAGTCCTTCCTGAGGAGACTGTAATACAGAATTTATCCTTGTAACTTTTCCATCCAGTCTTTGTTACTTTCTTACCATAGAGGAAGCACAAAAGGTAAGAAGTTTTACAGTAATTGGACAAGATTTGTCAAGATAATTGGGAAAACTGTGTGAGAGAGAACACCATGATGTTTTCTGACCAATAAAACTGCTACCTTTTCAAATAATCTGTATATTTCTTTCCTCCTCCAGGCAATCTCCACTTAAACGGAGAGACACTGCCATCCTGCAACTAATCTTAAGAGGGCAGGAGAAACATGATTTTAGAAACTGAATTTGAACATAGAGATTAGTGCTAGTGATTTTCCACAGAATTAAGTTATCCACCTAGAATTTCACAAGAAATCAATGCTTGATTCATATTCTTCATTTATTAGACCTCATTTTACAAAACACTCCTAAAGTATGACCTCAAGCAGAATTTTCATCTGCAGTAACAACTGCCTATACTGCATGTTAATTAGACTGGTAACTTGTAGAAAATTACCAAGAGCATGAGTGACACTGATTTTCTCAGGTCTTCTGGTTAAAACAAAGAATGACTTACAACAAGCAAAGAAGAAAATCCAAAGCCCATATTTATACAAGTCTTTTCCCCATGCTGTAATAAAATTATTATTTCATTATGAAAGCTAATTAAAAAAAAACACCAAAAAACACACACAAACATGTGATGCTCATGATAGCAAAAATTCACAAAGCTAGGAAGCAAACTGAAAAAAAAACCACACTGTCTAATCCAAGTTGTGTGTTATTACCACTAGCCAAGAAATCTGTAAAAAAGCCAGTGCTTTGCATATGCTGCATGTCTTCCTCTTTCCATCAGGAGTGTGGTTAGGTAGAAAAAGCTTCACTGAATACATCCATTCACACACAGTGGTCTGCCAAATTAAGAACTCTGCAGCTGCTTCAACTAATGTAATGAAACTCTTTTCAACTATGCCTATTATAATTCAGGTATTGGCAATCTATTTTACCTTTAAGTAGTTTAATTTTATCCATTCTTATGCTGCAAGCCAGAAAATATAAATAACTTCCAAAATGTCACATAGTTATTTATAGTATAAATACATAACTTATTAATGTTTTCAAAATTCAAGTTTTCAGCTGACACTGGGTCGGTTAAAAAATTAAAGGCCATTAATATCCTCATGTGGATTCTCTTGCTCTTACTTTCAGAAATTCAACCTGTTTTTTAAAAACTTCCTAACAGGAACTAGCTGTAACTACTCAAGTTTGAAAATGACTGCTTAAATGCCTATGAACATACTTTCTTTAGAGAAGATTTGCTGTTTTTGTGGAATTCACCAGAACACTTTGTGCACTGGAGAACTTCCATATGATCCAAGCGTGTTCAGTATGACCAAAGTGTGATCAAAGCTTTTTCAGTACTTGTCAATATATTCCAAAACAATAAAAAGTGTAACTTCTCCAAGATAAGCAAAAATCTCAATAAATCATTTAAGGGTTATTTATGAAACTAGCTCCAAATAGTTACTTCATAAGATTTTGTTTCACCGCTTAGAATTGTTATAACCTCACCAGCTTGTTGGTGCTTCATCATCTCCCATTTCACCTTCTTCTACATCCATTCCTTCCTCTCTCTCCTCTGCATGCTAATGGGAAGAAACAATTTAAAATTAATACAAATGCGATGGCAATTTGTACAGAGTTTTCATGCTTTTTTTTTCTTTTATATATTTTATTACACTTTAGATCACAAAGTTCAAGATTATAATTCAAAAGATCATTCTAATGAAGCGCACAGCATATTCCTGTTTTAACACCATTCTGTACCTTGGAAAGTAAAACTTCCCTTGTTTTCTACAGCCAGAACCACAGCCTGTTACAAAAACTGAAGGGACAGCTTTATACTCTGTATTCCATGTGAAAACCTTATCGCAGTAAGTGACGATGCTCACCCCTCACAATCAAAACAAAATCAATTTTACTCTTTTTAACTAATAACATGCCAGTTTCCGGAATTAGCAGTTTGGCTTGGAAAAGGGGCAGCTGATTTATAAACATATAATTCTAAGTATCAATCACAGTAGTATATTTCTGTGAAAATAATCTTATAGGCTCCCAGAAAGATTTTCTGTAGAATAAGCAGAAAGTGTCATAGGAATTTTCACCTTCTGTCCTAGAGTGCTCTCGTGTTCATTGGTATTGAAAACTGTGACATTTTCCAGGTTAAACTGACTCTGCAAGTTAAGCCCTGTGGAAAACAAAGCATCAGTCTGAGAAGCTGTGAACTTCATTCAATTAGTTGTTTGCCAGATATTATTACTAAATTAAAAGCAAAGTATTTTAAATTAAAGCATATGAAATCTGTGTTGGAAATCAAAACAAATGAAAGCCACTTAGAAGTTCTAGCACAGACCCAGTAACTAAGGCAAAAGTTTAAAAGAATTTTGGTCTATAAAGTGAACTTAAGATTCAGCATAGTTAGTCTTTGTTATATATGTGTGATGAAATACAAAACACTCACCTGATTTTTCTGAAAGCGGAAATAACCTAGCCAAGAACAGCTGAATTCTTCCACAGAAGACCGTGTTTTGTGACTTAGATAATCTTCTTAGGAGGTCTAAATGTTGTAAAAATTAAACATTCTTACTATTTATCACCCTCACATTTTCTCAATCACAAGTATTTATTTAGGAGTTTCTAATTACATGACCTATACAGCTAATTGTATAGGTAAGCTTTGTAAGCTTACCATCTTCTGACCAACCATATTTTTCCCTAACGCATTTTATCAAATCTCTTAATTATTACAGTGGCAAGAGAAGTTAAGTTTAAAAGGAATCCTTCCCAAACAAACATTTTCTCTGATAGCAGCCTTGTATCCAGCTGGAGGATAAGTAACTCTCAGGTGTTCTTCTATGACTGAAGAAACATTGATGAAAAAGATTACCCTAGGGTCAGAATATTTACATCAAACAGCAAGATTTACGAATATCTACCAAGATGAGCAATCCATCTATTAAATAATAAGTAATAAATAAGTAATAAAGTTACTTCCTCTAACATTCATGAAAAAAAGTGTAACTCACCATTGCACATTCGCAGCAAGTAATTTTTCCCCGCAGAATAAAACATATTCTGAAATGGATTGAAGGCATCAAGATCATTGAGAGACAGCAAAACCTCCTCAAGTGTATTGTTTTTAATTCAATCACATGTCATGCGTAAATATGAGTCATTTCTACTGTTGTTTCTCAATTCAGGTTCTTCCCTTAAATAATAGATGGGTTTTACAAAAAGGCAAAACAGAATAAGCAGTCTCACTAATTTCAAGGAAACATAAAATTTAAATCTAGCTGCCAAAGGTAGTTCATTGGCAACAATGAACTGCAACATCAGCATCCATTTTTCTCCCTCAAACGCACTAATTTAAGTCTCATTGCCTTTATTCTTCCAAGTGCATTTTATCTGTGACTGAAAGAGAAACATTCAAGCTTTAGAGTATTTGCAGTAGTAGAATTTTTGCAGCAGGATATATTTTTTAGATATTTTAATTAATGATAAAAGACAATTCTTGAATAAAAGCATGAAAGACAAGGTTATCTGAAATAGAATAGGAGGGTCAAGAAATCAGGCCAGAAAAACACTGACAGAAACCAGAATACTCTCTGGGTATTCCTGAAGCAACCTGCCGAGTTCTTGCTGTTCATGGTTCTAGCAGTGCTACAGTTTCCAACTAAGAATCTAGAGATCCAGATGTCTTATGCTTCTGAAGAAAATGCCTGCAGGTTACCTCTTCAATTAACAGCAACTGCAGCACAAGACACTCAGGAGCTGATCACAGAAGCTCTTCTAAAGTAACGCACTACTGTTCAGCAAGAAAGTAACATGCTCAAATTGCCCCAAGCCCCAGTTTGTTCTTCAAAAGCAGAAATATTTTAGGGTAATATTCTTGCTACAGTCCTGTAACGAAAAACTAATTTAGAAAGTGACCCAGTCTACTACTTTTTCTGCAGATTAGAGTGAAGGAATACCCTACAATACTAAAGAAGGAAGTGCATAAGTGAAGGTCTCCATACAAATCACACATCCTAAGTTAACTTTCCAGTTTCTGAATGTCAAACATGCTGTAGAGACAAAGTGGCCAGAAAAGAGTTAAAACAGAGCATCGATCAAAATTATGATTTTTTTTTCAATTAATTTTCTAACCTCTTTTACCTTGACTCCTGGTTTTTAAGCTTCAAAATAAGATTTACTCAACATGACTACTTTAACATAAGTAGATATAAAACAATAAAAATAATGTTTGTAAAAATGGTTCAGGTAGACTAAAGTTTTGCAATAACTATATTTTGGAAAAACACTTACAGATTTCCATGTAGCAACATTTTTCTCCACAAAAGTGAAGATTTTGTCACACTGATCCAAAGGCAGGCAATCCAGAACATCTCCCAGAAGAACAAAAGGGGTTGACGCAGTGCAAATGCCTACAAGGAATGGGAAATACTTCATTCAGAAAATTTGAACCTAAATGAATAAAGATGTTTGGAAGTTAAGGGACACTATGTTAAAAAAGTTCTCTGGATTCCTAAAAATGTTAACAAAAACATCGAAGTAAAGTATACACTTCCACTGAACCTTATGTATGCATATTCAAATAAGCATTAGCAGAGCTTTGCATTAATGCCTAGCAAATAATAAAACAGATGAAAACCTCAGATTCATCCAAATAAAAAAATGAAATTAAAACAAAAACAACCCATCATCAACCACCAGTAACAACAAAGCAAATTTTGCTATGCTGCTTAGAAGGCTTTTGATTCAGGCCAACAGTGTGAGCTTCCACACACGTTTTCTGGCTTATCCAGAAATTGGACTGTGAGCTTCCACACATGGTTCTTGGCTTACCCAGACACTGGATTAGATGCCTATGCCTCTCACAATTACTATGAAACTAGGAGCTTCTTTTAAAGTTTTTACTGACACCAGAAAACCTGCATGCTGCAGTTCTTAACAACCAGGCTTGAATCCATTTGTAGCCCACAAGGGAACTCCAAATCCACACAGCTGGTTCCCCTATAAACCTAGAAAGTTCAAATATCTTTTCCTCAATTAAAACATCTCTAAACTGGCACTCTGTACTTTAGTAATGACTGTATCCATAATCATAGGTCATGTTATTGTACAGTTCATAAAACATATGCATTAAATACACATTTACTAGAACAAAACCATATTTGATAGACATATGAAACATATAAACAGAAGGAAGAGCATTAAAGGTCATTCAGATGGTTTTAGCATGACCATCTCTGTCACACAAGACAGCTGGAATAACAGACCCAGGCATCTGAAAAACAGCTGTGTACTGTTATGGTGTCAGTAATATACAGCAAAATATGGGTCAGCATTTAGGAGACTAGCACAGACATTTAGGAGACATTATGTTTGGCTCTGAAAGTGACTAAAAAGGAAACCTAGGATAAGCCTCTTAACCTCATAGTCACATTGGCCTCACATTTCTTCGGTGGGAGACATCGAAGCATTTTACAGGGAGTCAAAAGAGCATTAGAAAACCCTAATTATGTTACGACCAAAGCCACTTGTGCAACAGATTTATTCAACCACCAACCTAATAATCACATACTATCTAGCTCATTGCTTTACTGACTATTTTCAAGAAAAGCAAGGTGGTAAATGAACAAATGAAAATCCAAAAGATCACATCCCTAAAACTGCTACCAGATTCAAGGAGAAGATGCTCACCTTCTGTGACTCCATTAATAGCAAGAGAAATAATTGCCAGGAGATTTTCACATGGTGCTTTGTTTATCTGAAGAAACACACAACAGGGCTGAACTTCTCTGTTTTGACGTTAACATACTTAATGAAACCAAAATTCTTGTTTTCTAAACAGACACGTTTTAACTGGTTTTGACACTCTACCTCCCCAAATTCCAAGCATTCTATTAGCAGATCCATCAATTACTCTTTTTTTTTTGTTATGAGCAACATTTCTTGACCTTTTCTAGCCATTAAAGATCCTGAAATACCTACTGTGTAGATGCTTTTTTACCCCTGAAAACAGTTATCCCACATTCTGTCTCAATAAAAGCTATATCAAAACAAAAATAGTTTGAGTCTTTCTATCTACTTTCCTGCAGTACATGCTAGTAGTAGATAACTCACTCCACTCTGGAAATATAATCGGAGAATAACGTATATTTATGAAATCAAGTCATAGCAGGTTTTCAGAAGCATTGCAAGGAATTGCTGGAAAAGGCTAAGTAAGCATTTCTCATCAATGTTGTATCTGTAAAATCAGAATTTCATCCTACCTACTAATCTTATTTTGCCTATATTAAGTTTTAATTTACAAAATTTGTGTTTTTTAATAAACACTATTCTCCAAAACTAAATTAAGTTGTTGTCAAATTAGTATATGTTAACTTTCAAACAGAAGTTTCATTTACTTCAACGGATAGGCTATAGCAGCTTGAAATACTTACTATTTCTTCTTCTACAACAACTCTAAAAGTTTGGTCCAAGGTGCATTTTTTTTCATTTTCACTGCAAAAGCAAACATTCTACATTAGTTAATAACAATTATTAAAGACAAGACTGGTAAAAATGATCTGAATAGCTACCTTTTAAAATCAAGTAGCAGCTACCTACCTGCCAGGAATCTGGTTGAATGCATTCAATAAGGGTTTGATGGTTTTGTGATGCAGAGCCTCCCTGGTGGAGGTCTAAACAAGGTAAACACAAAGATTACAAAACCATTAGGAAAGCAAAGCTATTCTGATGGATCACTTGCCTCCTCTACCTGACAGAAAGCAGAAATACTAAGGAATCTACTTTTGATATATCATGTCAATTTACAAACTTTTATTAAGAACTTACTCACATAGCCTATCTCAAATCAGGGCTAGAAGTACACCTGAAATTACATTTCTAGGTGAAATACAAAGGAACAGGCTACGGTGCCTGGCATTGCATCTCGAACAACTGAAAGGTTTGTAAACAAACTTTCACCTGCCAGGCAAGCAAGCTGTAGTGGTTTAAAACACTACTTCCTGTAGCAAGCTGGTCAAAAATACCTGTAATCAAATCAGTAAAATGAAATAACTGCCTGCACCTCAACTACTTCAGCGAAAATCTCACCCTCTTTCTTTAAGAGTCCAACAAACTAGACCAACACCAGCATAACTGCATGGCCTGGGTACAGCCCCAGCTCAGTCTGCTCTAATGAGGAAAAAGCATCACTCAGCAGAGGTGCAAAGGAGATAAGGACAATAAAGCTATGACATATTTTACTGCAAAGGTTGAGTTACATTAGATTCTAGTCTAATTAATTTCAGCTCACTAAACCATGGATACTCTGCTCATTTTAGCTCCCTTGGTTAGGCTAAACTTGTACAAAAAGTTTTTTACTTGTCTTTTTATAGTACTTTAATGAAACCAAGTTTAGCATTCATTACATGAAAACAGTCTCCTCTGCAGAGATATTCCACTTACACCTGGTTGCCGGAGTGCTTCAAACACAGCTGCAGCTTTGCTGCAGGCCTACTAAGGCTAGCATGTGCCTCAGCGTGAGCCAGGACCTTTATAAGTATTCACATTTTTCTTCTGCTGATAGCAGCAGCTGCTGTGGAGAGCTTTTGCTGATAGGATTTTTTAGTATGCAACTGCTAATGATAAAAAACCTGGATATGAAACTAGGATAAGCTGAACTGAAATCAGAACAATTTTATTGTCATATAAGATACCTCTTATCAAGGCTTATCCTGCATTAGCTTGAGAATCCAGAATCATAAAGGTTGGAAAAGACCTTCAAAAACATCAAGTACAACCGCAAACCCATCACCACCAGGCCTGTTAACTATGTCCCTAAGCGCCTCATCTGCTTGTTTCTTGAGCGCTGCCAGGGATGGTGACTCCACCACTTGCCTAGGCCGCCTGTTCCAACACTTCACCACTCTTTCTGTGTAGAAATTCTTTCTAATATCCATCCTGAACGTTCCCTGACACAACTTGGGGCCATTTCCTCTTGTCCTATCAGCAGTTATTCTGGAGATCGGCCCCCGCCTCCCTACAACCTCCTTTTAGGCAGTTGTAGAGAGCTATAAGGTCTCCCCTGAGCCTGCTTTTCTCCAGACCGAATGACCCCAGCTCCCTCAGCCGCTCCTCACAAGGTCTGCGCTCCAGGCCGCCGTCCTCCTTTTAGACTCGCTACAGCACCTTTTGTAGTGCGGGGCCCAACACTGAGCACAGTATTGGAGGCGCGGCCTCACCAGCGCCGAGTACAGCGCGACGATCCCTTCCGCGGCCCTGCAGCTGGCTACACTGTTCCTGACACCAGCCA